CAAGCGAGTCTCCTGCCTCCGCCTCCCAACTAGCTGGGACCACAGGCGCCCGCCACAACGCCTGGCCATTTTTTGGCTGCAGTCGTCATTGTTGTTTGGCGGGCCCGGGCTGGGGATTCGAACCCGCCACCTTAGGTGTACTTGGCTGGCGCCCCAGCCCATTGAGCTATAGGTGCCGAGCCAACTTTATGATTTTTGATAATTCTTAACTATTTAATCTTCTAATGTTAAGACTGAATTTGAAAGGCCGAGCACGGTGGCTCATACTTTTAATCCTACCACTCTGGGAGGCCAAGGAAAGCGTTATCACCTGAGCTCACAAGTTCGAAACCAGACTGAGCTAGAGTAAGCCCTGTTTGTAAAAATAGCCAGGTGTTACGGTGGGTGCCTGTAGTCCCAGCTACTTTGGAGGCTGAGGCAAGAGAATTACTTGAGCCCAAAAGTTTGAGAGGGTTGCTGTGAGTTATGACATCCCAGCTGCTTGGGAGGCTGAGGCAGGAGAATCGCTTGAGCCCAACAGTTTGAGGTTGTTGTGAGCTATGATGCCACGGCACTCTACTGAGGGCCACATAGTGGGACTCTGTCTCAAAAAAAAAAAAAAACCAAAAATGCTATGTGGTGGGTAGTTTTATCCTCAGTTTGTAGATGCAAACTCGAACCCACCACCTTAGGTGTGTGTGGTTGGCGCCTTAGCCGCCTGAGCCACAGGCGCCGAGCCGCTCCCACAGTTTTAAGCAGGCAAAACCATAGCTTACATTCCTTGAAATATTTCTGGATGCTTTTGAGTCCTTAGTAAGAATGACATTTTATATATATGTTTAACACTTCTTTTTTTTTTTTCCTTTTTTTTCAGAGACAGAGTCTCATTTTATCGCCCTTGGTAGAGTGCTGTGGCGTTATAGATCACAGCCACCTCCAATTCCTGGGCTTAGGAAATTCTCTTGCCTCAGTCTCCCTTGTCTCAGCTGGGACTACAGGTGCCAGCCACAAGGCCTGGCTATTTTTTATTGCAGTTTGGCCGGGGCCGGGTTCAAACCCACCACCCTCGGTATATGGGGCTGGTGCCCTACCCACTGAGCCACAGGCGCTGCCCTGTTTAAAACTTCTTACAAAATTATTTAGTTATTTTATTTTAGAGACTAGATCTTTAGATCAATTCTCAGTGTAGATCCTTAATGAGTAGCATCAGCATCATTTGGGAACTTGTTAAAAGTGAAAATTCTCAGATTTCATTCCAAACTTACTGAAGCAGAAACTTTGGAGATAGGTCCTAGCATCTGTCTTAACAATCTCACCAGGTGATTCTGATGTTCACTAAAGTTTGATAAATCAGTAGTTTAGTTTAAAATTATTGTACCTACTTTGCCAATTTTTTTTTTTTTAGAGACAGAGTCCCACTATGTCACCCTTGGTAGAGTGCTCTGGAGTCACAGCTCACAGCAACCTCAAACTCTTGGGCTTAAGTGATTCTCTTGCCTCAGCCTCCCAAGTGGCTGAAACTACAGGCGCCCACCACAATGCCTGGCTATTTTTTGGTTGTAGTTGTCATTGTTGATTGGCAGGCCCAGGCTGGGTTCGAACCTGCCAGCTCTGGTGTATGTGGCTGGTGCCCTCTGAGCTACAGGCACCAAGCCTACTTTGCCAATTTAGAGAGTAGACTCTAGAAGTCTCTGTATCTCAAAATTAAAGCAAAAACCCTGCTTTAAAACAAGAATTTATAATGTAAAATAAGCATATTTTGAGCCATACAAGTTTGATAAACACCAGTGTAAGTTCTTTTTGTTATTTTAACACTTTTTTATAATGGGAAATTTACAAAGTATACAAAAGAGATAATACTATAATATACTCCCATGCATCCATTAACCAATCTCAACAATTATCAATTCATGACCAACCTTGTTATCTCTTTATTTTTCTTTGAAATGGGGAGACTCTATATTGCCCAGGCTGGTCTCCCAACTCCTGGCTTCAAACAATTCTCCCACTTCAGTCTCCCACGTAGCTAGGATTATAGGCATGTGGCCCGCCCTAGCTAATCTTCTTTCTTCTTTATCCCTGTGTCCCCTCTGTACACCATAATATCATTTCATCTGTAAATATATCAGCATGTATCACTTAAAGATATTTAAAAAATATAACCTTGTTACCATGCCATACCTGAAAAATATCAAGCTTAATATCAAACTATCCAGCTAGTGTTCAGTCATATATTTTTGCATTTGGTTGGTTCAAATCAGAATCCAAACAAGGCTCATACATTGCATTTAGCTGATTTGTCTCTTTTACGCTATAGTCACCCAACCCCCTACCCTTCTTTCCCTTACAATTTATTTTCTTTGGAAACTGGATCTTTGGTCCTATAGACTTCCCTGTATTCTAGATTTTTGCTGCTTATATCCTTGTAGTATCATTTAACATGTTCCTCTGTTCCTTCCTCCCAACCCCCAGTTTTTTGGCAAGATTACTTCACCTGATGTTTTATGCTTTTAACAGGATGCTCATAGTATCTGATTGTCTCTTTTTCTGTAATGTTAAGATGGATCAGTATATTCAGGTGTTTGTAGCCTTATCCATTGGTGTGCTAGTAAATATTTAACAACCAGCTTGGGGTGGATTGTGGCAGTACCGGGGAGCAATCTGATTTGTAGCATTTCCCTGATTTATGCTAATCCACGTAGTATAGATATTCCTACCATGGCTGGTTTTTAGCTACCAGCACCATGCTAACTGGCTACAACATTGCTGAAAATTGAACAACTGGGTCTGGTGAGCCAGTCAAGCCTGCTCAAACACAGTGCTGGCTCATGCCTGTGCCAGCTTTTCCCTAAGGGTTTGTAGCAGTGATTGGTGATCTTTGCCTAGATCCTTTTTCTTATTAGAGTGATTTCTTATAATATCACTTATTATAAAATAGTGAGTATTAATAATAGTATTATAAAATACTCTTTATTATAGGAGTGTTAGAGTAGTACTATTAAAAATTTCCCTCTTCTATTTGGTAGCCAGATGCAGAGTTCATACAGGAAATGGAGTTTAAATTCCTTTGTGTGTGTGTGTGTGTGTGTGTGTGTGTGTGTGTGTTTTCTGAGATAGCATCTCTTATCACCCTAGATCGAATGCCAGTGGCATCATAGCTCACAGTAACCTCAAACTCCAGGGCTCAAGAGATCCTCTTGCCTCAGCCTCCCTCAGTCCCTCAGCTGGGACTACAGGTGCCTGCCATAATGCCTGGCTTACTTTTTCTCTTTTTAGTAGAGATAGGATTTCACTCTTAGGCTAGTCTTGAACTCCTAAGCTCAAGCAATCCATCTGCCTTGGCCTCCTAGAATAAAGTGCTAGGATTGAGTATAGGCATGAGCCACTGCACCTGGCCTGTGAGTTACCTTTTTGGGGGGAAGGGGCAGGGAGATGAGAACCTCACTCTTTCACCCTGGGTACAGCAACCTCAAACTTCTGGGTTTGAGCCATCCTCTCACCTCAGCCTCCCAAGTAGGTACAGGCAGCCGCCACAATGCCTGGCTAGATTTTTCTATTTTTAGTAGAGATAGGGGTTTCACTTTTGCTTGGGCTGGTTTGGAACTCCTGAGCTCAAGCAAGTTTAAATTCCTGATTCTTTCCCCATTGTCCCTTTACTAAACCAGTTTTCAGAATATTAACTTGGTTCTTTTTTTTTTTTTAATTATTTTTTTAAATTGCCTGGGATTCATTGAGGGTACAAAGAATTAGATAACTGATTGCATTTATTAGATAAAATCCCTCTTATACTAGTGTCCTGCCCCCAAGAGGTGTGCCATACACTCTCACCCCCCATTCCCCTTAACTTGGTTCTTTTAGCATCTGCCAAAAGTGACCAATAAATCCTTTATTGTTAATATTATTACAGATTCAGAGTTTTTAAATATACACAGGTAAATAAAGTTTGCGTGCAATTTACTATGTTAAACTATTTTAAATTGCACAGAAACTTTGTGTCCACCCTATATATCTATATCTATATATATATTTGACATGCTTCAATTCATTGCATTTATTCTTTTTGATGCTCAAATTTTTCCATCTTTGGTTGGTGGGATCTTCTTCACGTTTACTATCAATAATAATTGATATAATCCTAGTAGTCTTTGTTAGTTTCTTACTTTCTGGTATAGCAAGATATTCCAAAGCACTTCTTGTATATTTCTTACTCAAGAACTGGAATTGACCATTTCCCTAAAAAGGACTTGTTTCTTGTAGTGAGAAATGGTATTTTGAGACCAAAGTCTGGGAACTAACCCAGCTAGCTTGTCGCTATTGGGTTTGTTATTATTTCTAGGCCTTTTTTAGTGAATAGGGAAATAGATTTTTTTTTTTTTTTTTGAGACGGAGCCTCAAGCTATCCCCCCTGGGTAGAGTGCCATGGTATCACGCTCACAGCAACCTCCAACTCCTGGGCTCAAGCGAGTCTCCTGCCTCAGCCTCCCAAGTAGCTGGGACTACA